GACGTTTTCAGGGACTAGAATGAGAGACCACGAAGTGGAATGAAAGCCCCAGTGTGTAGAAGGAGTGTTCAGGGACTGGAATGAGAGTCCACGGAATGGAATGACAGCCCCTGGCAGTAGTAGGAGTGTTCTTGGACTGGTATGAGAGGCCCCAGAGTGGAATCACAGCCCCAGAGTGTAGCAGGAGTGTTCTGGGACTGGGATGACAGGCCATGGAGTATAATGACAGCCCCAGGGTATAGGAGGAGTGTTCAGGGACTGGAATGAGAGACCATGGAGTAGAATGACAGCCTGTTGGGGTAGTAGGAGTCTTCTGTGACTGTGATGACAGGCACCAGAGAGGAATGACAGCCCCAGAGTGTAGCAGGAGTATTCAGGGATTGGAATGAGTGACCATGGAATGGACAGAAAGCCCCTGGGTGTAGCAGGAGTGTTCTGGGACTGGGATGACAGGCCATGGAGTATAATGACAGCCCCAGGGTGTATCAGGAGTGTTATGTGACTGGGGTGACATACATGGAGTGGTATTACAGTCCCCGGAGGTAGCAGGAGTGTTCATAAACTGGAATGAGACACCACATAATGGAATGAGAGCCACTGGCTGGAGCAGGAGTGTTCAGGGACTGGAATGAGAGACCACTGAGTGGAATGAGAGCTCCAGGGTTTAGCAGGAGTATTCAGGGCCCATCATCGCAGTCTCAGAACACCCCTGCTTTCCCCAAGGACTGTCATTCCACTCCCTGGCCTGTCATCACAGTCACAGAACACTCCTGCTTAATCCTGGTGATATCATTACACTCTGGGGCCTCTCATCCCAGTCCCAGAACACTCCTGCTACACCCAGTGCCTGTCATTCCACTTTGTGGTCTCTCATCCCATTCCTAGAACACTCCTGCTCCACCCAGGGGCTGTCATTCCTCTCCGTGGCCTGTCATCCCTATCGCAATAAACTCCTGCTACACCCGGGTGATGTCATTCCACTCTGTGGCCTCTCATCCCAGTCCCAGAACACTCCTGCTCCACCCTGGGGCTGTCATTCCACTTTGTGGTTTCTTTTTCCAGTTTTTGAACACTCCTGATGCACACCCAGGCTCTCATTGCATTCCATGGCCTTTCATCCCAATCCCAGGACACTGCTTCTCCACCTTGGGGCTGTCATTCCACTCGTTCGGTTTTCATCCCAGTCCCAGAACACTTCTGCTACACCCTCAGGCTTTCATTCCACTCTGTGGCCTAATAATCCCAGACACTTCTGGTACACCCTCAGGCTTTCATTCCACTCTGTGGCCTATAATCCCAGACCAAGAACACTCCTGCTACACCCTGCGGCTGTCATTCTACTCGGTGGCCTTTCATCTGAGTCCCAGAACACTCCTGTTTCACTCCGGGTCCTTCATTCCACTCCGAGGCCTCTCACTTCAGTCCCTGAGCACTCCTGGTACACCCTGGGGCTGTTTTCGCACTCCATGGTCTCTTATTCCATTCCCAGAACACTCCTGTTTCACTCCGGGTCCTTCATTCCACTCCGAGGCCTCTCACTTCAGTCCCTGAGCACTCCTGGTACACCCTGGGGCTCTCATTCCACTCTGTGGTCTCTCATTCCAGTCCTAGAACACTCCTGCTGCACCCTGGGGCTATCATTCCACTCCGTCTCCTGTCATCTATGTCCCAGAACAGTCCTGCTACACCCTGGGGCCTTCATTCCATTGGTGGTCTCTCATTCCAGTCACAGAACACTCCTGCTAAATCGTGGTGCTTTCATTACACTCCGTGGCCTGTCATCCCAGAACACTCCTGCTCCACTTTGGGGCTGTCATTCCACTTCTTTGTGTCCCATTGCAGTCCCTGAACACTTCTGTTCCACTCTGGGGCTTTCCTTCCACTCCGAGATTGCTCATTCCAGTCCCTGAGCACCCCTGGTAAACCCTAGGGCTCTCATTCCACTCCGTGGTCTCTCATTCCAGTCCCTGAACACTCCTGTTCCAGCCTGGGTCTTTCAGTTCCCTCTGGGACCTGTCATCCTAGTCCCAGAACACCCCTGCTACCTCCAGGGACTATCATTTCACTCCGTGGTGTCTCATCCCAGCCACAGAACACTCCTGCTACCCCAAGGGTCTATCATTCCATTCTATGGTCTGTAATTCCAGTCCCAGAACATTCCTACTTCCCCCAGTGGCTGTCATTCCAATCTGTGGCCTGTCCTCTTAGTCCCAGTACACTCCTCCTACACCCTGGGGATGTCATTCCACTCCGTCACCTATTATCCCAGACCCAGAACACTCCTGCTACTCCCTGCAGCTTTCATTCCATTCCTTTGCCTGTCATCCCAGTCCCAGAACCCTTCTGCTCCACCCTGGGGCTGTCATTCCACTTCGTGGTCTCTCATTCCATCCTTGAACACTCCTGCTGCACTCCGCAGCTCTCACTGCACTCCATGGCCTGTCATTCCAATCCCAGGACACTGCTGCTCAATTTTGGAATGTCATTCCACTCTAGGCCATGTCATCCCAATCCCAGAACACTCCTGCTCCACCCTGGGGCTGTCATTCCACTCCGTGGTCTCTCATGCCAGTCCAAGAACACTCCTGCTACACCCTGGGGCTGTCATTCCACCCTAGGGCTTGTCATTCCAGCCCCAGAACTCTCCTGGTACACCCTGGGACTGTCATTCCACTCCGTGGCCTGTCATCGATGTCCCAGAACACTCCTGCTATATGCAGGGGCTGTCATTCCATCCGTGGTCTCCCATTCCAGTCACAGAACACTCCTGCTACACCCTGGGGCTGTCATCCCATCCATGTCTCTCATTCCAGTCACAGAACACTACTGCTAAACCCTGGGGCTTTTATTCCACTCTGTGGTCTCTCATTACAGCCACAGAACACTCCCGCTACACCCTGGGGCTTTCGTTCCACTTCGTGGCCTGTCATTCTAGTCCCAGAACACTTCTGCTCCACTCTGGGGCTGTCATTCCACTCCGTGGTCTCTCATTCCATCCACAGAGTAGTATATTTTGGCCCAGAGACCCTAATGGAAAATCCATTTTGCATTTTTATTGCAACTCTACTTGTACTGTTATGTATTTCAATGGAGCCCAGGGAAGTCAATTGGCATTCTTGTTTCCCATTATCTCCAATGGGCCTTTAAGCATCTCACATTGTTTCCAATGGGAAATCCTGTCCTTCCTCTTAGTACATCCCTTACATGAATACTCCTTTCCCTCCTTTTCCTACACAACACCCCTATGAGGTAGGTTAGGCTGAAAGTATGTGACTGGTCCAAAATCACACAGTGAGCTTCAACAGCAAGATGAAAATTCAACCTTGAGTCTCCCAGGCCATACTCTATCCTTTCCTCTCCTTTTGTATCCTTAGAAGCTCATTGATTCAGGAAACTTGAGCAGCAGAAGACACTTATTTTTTAGATAATTTCCATGTTTCGAGGTGGAACCTTCTAAGCAGATTCCATAATTCTAAAACTGTAAAAAGTATACAATAAATGATGTATAATATCATGAAACCCAGTACAAAAAAACCTCTGGGTGCCAAAGGTCATCAAGTACTCACCAACCAACAATGTCAAAGGTTCTCACCAACCAACAATGTCAAAAGCAAAACTCCTTAATTTCAAATATGTAACAAATATATAATTATGACATATCTCATATGGTTGTGCTAAAAAAGAAGAAGAAGCCTACAGATGCCATAAGCCTCACGATACTCTCTCACAGTATCAGTATTTCCCTTAAGGTCCACAAAATATATAAATTGGGTTGTTGTTGTTCAGTCGCACAGTTGAGTCCAACTCTTCGCGACCCCATGGACCAGCTCCCGCCAGGCCCTCCTGTCTTCCGCTGTCCTCTGAAGTTGGCTCAATGTCATGTTCGTTGCGTCGCTGACACTGTCCAACCATCTCATCCTTTGCCGTCCCCGTCTTCTTTGACCTTCAATCTTTCCCAGCATCAGGGTCTTCTCCAGTGAGTGCTCCCTTCTCATTTGGTGGCTACAGCTCTGCAATCTTTATGTCTCAAAATGCCTTCACAAAAGGGCTTGTCACACAATGTACATACATCCACAAACACAGCAAAACACATATATCACTCTCGATGTTCCACGTGTAAATTGATATAATTGTTGAGTATATCCATTTATTTCTATGGTGTCTGTCCTCCATGCCATTTTACAGACAGAACAAAGATCCACAAGGATGGTGTCCTTTCACGAATAGAGCTCTTGCTAGGATTAAGGAAGTCAGATTTTGTCAAAATATTTCTCAATGTTTTTGTTCCTCGTAAACCTAGATGTGGTTTATCTTTACAAGCTGGTGAATGTTCAATAAGATGCCAGTGTTTATAAATAATGTTCTTAATCTGATTAAGAATCAGAGGAATCACACCTCGGCACTGAAGACTCCCTGTGAAGTCTGTGATGATGCGCATACTGGTAAGGGGGGGGCAGCGGCAGGGAGTCAGGATGGAAAGAGAGTGTGGCCTGTCTCAGCCCATTAGAGCTGGACTCTTCCTTTTAACTCCGCTTCTGTGGCGGAGCAGCACGGGTTGCAGCTATGTCAGATCAAAAAATGCATTTGACCTCAGCCTCAGTGGGCCTTACTCCCAGGACACTAACAATATGGGCGTACAAAGCACCATGGAAAGAAAATTTATTTCACCCCTTTTTATTTATTGAAACGTAGACAATAGAACAAGAATTCAAAGAGTTTAATTTCTTCGACTACGTGGAAGTAAAAAAGGTAGGCTATAGGATAACTTTGTGACCTGGATAGCTATCACTTTTCTGATGTCAAACAACACTAACCACACTGAATGATATTTTTGTAGAAGAGACTCTAGAACTTTAAAAGTAATAACTTCTTACTTGTCTAGAATTGTTATCCATGGAAAAGCACTGAAGACAGCTCTCTTTTTGACTTACCTTAGTATGTGACATCTAGTGTTCTATTGTCTACCTGCTCCAAGCTTGTCATGTTATGAGACAGAAGTATCAATGAACAAAGATTTTAGTTTCTATTGCTTTCCATAAAGCATCTTTTACATCTTTGTTCCTCAGGCTGTAGATTAGGGGATTCAGTACAGGGACAATAATAGTGTAGAAAACAGAGATGTACTTGTCTGAGGTAGGGGAGTACCAGGAGCTGGGGCGGGAATAGATGAAGAGGAGAGTTCCCTCATAGATGATGACAGAGGTCAGGTGAGAGGCGCAGGTGGAGAATGTCTTGTGCATTGCTGCTGCAGACCATTTCTTCAAAACAGAAGTGGCAATAAGGATATAGGAGATTATGATAATGACTGAAGACATGATTTCCACAGAACTACCATAGGTGTAGAGTAGGAGTTCATTGAGGGTGGTGTCTGAGCACGAGAGCTTGAGAAGCAGTGGAAGGTCACAGAAAAAGTGGTTGATGACATTAGGTCCACAGAAGGACAGTCTGAAGGCAAAGCAAGTATGGACCAAAGCACTTAATGTACCACCAAGGTAAGAGAGTGCAACCAGCAAGATACAAATTTTGGGAGACATAATTACAGTATAAAGAAGTGGGTTACAGATGGCTACATACCGGTCATATGCCATAGAGGCTAGGATGAAAGACTCAGTGTCAGCAAAAGTGCAAAAGAAGTAGAATTGCAGTCCACAGCCAGTATATGATATTACCTTTTTCTCTGCCAAGAAGTTTACGAGCATCTTTGGGACAATCACTGAGCAGTAGCAGAGATCAACAAAGGACAAATTGCTGAGGAAGAAGTACATTGGGGTGTGGAGTTGAAGGCTAGTTTTTATTAGAACCATCAGCCCTATATTTCCCAGCAGAACCATGCTGTAGAGCATCAGAAATGTCAGAAAGAGGATAATTTGAATGGCTGGGCTGCTAGGAAACCCTAAGAGAACAAAGTGGGTCACCATTGTTTCATTACCAACTAGCATCTCTGCTATTTCCTGGAGGGATGCAGAATTTGGACTGAAGAGAAAGACGTGAGGTTGCAATAAGGCAAAAGCACAGCCAGGTAAAATGACTGTCAAGCAACCACGTATGCAAACATTAGTGTGCAGTACATGATAGAAACAGGTACCTTCGGGAACCCACAGTACACAGCTGGTACAACTAATCACTGAAATATAGCATCCTCTATTAGGCCATTGTTTCTATACGTTTCTTTCATTCTTTCATATTTTTTACACACAAAGTAATGCATGAGCTATTTTCTGTTACTCCCCTTGCAGTGATAGCAGAGTAGAGTGATTGAGAGAGACAAGTGTGCTGTGATTGGTGGATGACAGAGTGTGGGGGGAGTTGTTTTGAAATGAATGTGTCTTGAAATTAGTTATGAAAGTCAGTTAGAGAAAGCAGTTCAGTTGGAGATATTAATTCAGTTAGTGTGTTCAGTCAGTGAGGGTTATCATTCTGTGTAAAGAGTTCAGAATACAAGTCTATAAAAGCTAAAGTTGTGAAGGAGCTATGAGAAGGGTCTGTGAGACTCTAGAGTGGTGAAAGAACCTATAGTGCAAAGAGCTAAGCCAGTGTGACTGCCTGTTAAGAAAGAGATTCCTTTCAGTGGGATCTTAATGTTAAGAAGATTCTGTGTGATACACCAGTTTATTCATCATGTCCTTATTCCCAAACAGTTACAGAGAAACCAGCCTCATATTTTGTTCTTATTTCAATAAATCTTTTGTTCAAGTTTATCCCAGAATTCAGTTCTATCTTTCCTCAGGACCACATGGATCCCTGAAAAGCCCAGACTCTGAGTCACATTATCAGCAGCAAAGGAGAAAAGATTTGGAATTTGTTTAAATTCCTGGTGGCAACCAAATCTACCCTGTTTATGAACACAAGGTATAAATTTAAAGAGAAAACCAGTCCTCCCTAATAAGAGGACGCCACAAACTACCCCGGAGGTAGTTCAGGTCTTGAGGACAATATCTGAGACAGTCGATGTGGACTCTACTTGCTCCTAACCTTAATTTATCTCAGTTATTTCTTCACCTCAAGCTCCAAATAAACCTATTAATGATTGTCTCTCCCAAACAATTTTGTCTCTCCTAGCTAAAATGAGAATTTTAGAAAAATGGCATGTAAAAAAACAGTAGATGGTGAAAAGGCAAAGAGAAAAAATGAGAAAAAACTAAAGTGTTTGTCCCTGTTTGACATTGACAAAAGAGACAGGAATTGGGAAGATCAGTGGCAGAACACATGCTTTCCATGCAGACAGGCCTTGGTTGTATTCATGACATGTTTAGTTGATAGGATCTCTGCCTGGGTCCCTGGAGAGTTAGTAAAGATAGGCTAAAATGTTGTTAGATATATTAACATCCTATAGTGTTTTTATAATGTTTTATTAATATTGTAAGCGACCTTGACTCTGGCAAGGGTGAAAGGTGGCTAATGAATGTTTTAAACAAAGCAGGTTCATATATATAAGAACTTATTTTTAACCTTTTGCTAATTATGTGATGGCTACCTCAATCACAAATTTAATCAGAAGTACATTTCCCTGACTTCTATGTGGCTTAATCTTAGATAAATGTATACAAGATTGAAGTCAGTCAAACTATGAAAATTTTTGCCATGACTAGGGTTCTGGTTGGGTTTTAAAATATGACTATGTCAATTAATTCAAGAGCTGTCAAAGGGCTGTTAGCCAAGATGGGTAATGTATTTTAGATTTGGGACATACAAAGGATTAAAAAACCTTAGGCAGATAATAATACAAAGAAAAAATGTCAGATATTTCTCAGGCTAAAAATACATTATTAAAAGTATGTACCAAATCAACATCTTAATGAA